GACTTGTATGCTGAGGCTCACAATTCCTATAAAGACCTAAAGGGATTGAACCTTAAGGGCAATGGTTCACCTGAACCAAAGATTAAGAAGCCTACAGTAGAAGCAAAGTCACCAGCTATTATACCAACCTGTCATCGATGTGGTGGTATTGGACATAAACGTCCAGATTGTCCTTCCAAGAAAATAGAGAAAGTTGGTAGATGTTTTGTTGACGGTAATGACCAAGCACCCTTCTGTTCAGGAGCAGTTAATGGTATAAAAGTCTCAGATATATTACGTGACACTGGATGTACGTGCATCGTAATTTCGGACAAACTGTTCCCTTACCTTAAAACCTCTCGTGTGTCCTCTATTCTTTCAGATTACTTGGGTCGTGAAAATACTTTCCCTACAATATGTTGTTACTTGAAAACTAAATGGTTCACCGGTTGGACTAATGCGGTACTAGCCCCAATTACTTGTTCTACAATAGTGGGTAACATTAAAGGTGCCGTTCTTCCTTCAGAGGCGGATCTTTCGTCACCACCCGTGGATCTAAGTTTTCCAGCTCTTCCTCCTTGCAAGTTAAATAAGCCCCTTAACAATTCCGCACCGGAAGCTGCATTGTCTCGTACTGTTCATTTGGGGGTGGAAACAGATGATACTGCTCTCGATAGTGAGGCAGCAGGATCACCTGTCCACTCGTCGGGTGAAAGTAAGGGTACTGCCTCCGGTACTCTCAATGTCTTGACTAGGGCTCAGACCATAACCCCGGCTTCTCCTACCTCCTCTTCTCCCACCGTGGGTCCTTTTATTTTCCCAGATATTATGTCCAAGGATGACTTTGTCAATATACAGCGCAATTGCCCTTCACTTCGGGATTGTCATAATAAAGCTTTTAACAACAAAGTTATCCATGGGAGATAGGTATCTCATAAGTTTGAATATATTAATGGTATCTTATATAAATCGGTCTTTAAATCTCATTCTTCAGTGATAGATTATTCCCTACTTGTTGTTCCTAAACCATGCCGAGAGACTGTTCTTCAAATGGCTCATGATTTGCCAGTGACCGAACACTTGGCCCATCGTAAGACGTGGCATAAACTCAAGCACACTTATTTTTGGCCAAGCATGTACAGTGGACCCCCGCATACCGCACTCATCGCATACCGTACAATCCGCATACCGCTCGCTTTTTTCGCAAAAATTTTGCCTCGCATACCGCCCAAAAACCCGCTCACCGCTCCTCGTCCGAGACGCGTCCAATGTGCGGCCTGAGCCACGCTCACATGTTCCACTGGTGGCATTGTTTACCAGCCAGCCTCCGCGGTAACATCCAAGCATACAATCGGAACATTTCGTATTATTACAGTGTTTTTGGTGATTTTTTCTGGAAAATAAGTGACCATGGGCCCCAAGAAAGCTTCTAGTACCAACCCTACAGCAATAAGGGTGAGAATTACTATAGAGATGAAGAAAAAGATCATTGATAAATATGAAAGTGGAGTGCGTGTCTCCGAGCTGGCCAGGTTGTATAATAAACCCCAATCAACCATCGCTACTATTGGTGGTACAGCTGCTGTTGTACCACCGTCAGCTGCTGCTGCACTGTCAGCTGCTGCTGCACTGTCAGCTGCTGCTGCTGTTGCACCACCATCAGCTGCTGCTGCTGTTGTACCACCGTCAGCTGCTGCTGCTGCTGCTGTAGCATCGTCTGCTGCTGCTGTAGCATCGTCTGCTGCTGCTGTAGCATCGTCTGCTGCTGCTGTAGCATCGTCTGCTGCTGCTGTAGCATCGTCTGTTGCTGCTGTAGCATCGTCTTCTGCTGCTGTAGCATCGTCTGTTGCTGCTGTAGCATCGTTTGTTGCTGCTGTACCACCGTCAGCTGCTGCTGCTGCTGTAGCACCGTTGTTGGTGTGGCTTATTGAGAATACCAAGAAACAATTAACCCCAGAGGATTTGCCACCCAGGATAACCCAAAAAAGTCAGTGTCATCGAAGACTGTCTAACTTATTTCCATTGGGGTCCTTAATCTTGTCTCCCAGGATGCAACCCACACCAGTCGACTAACACCCAGGTGAACAGGGAAAAATGCCTGGAACTAGTGCTCATATTGGTGAATTTAAAGCCAGCAAAGGTTGGTTTGAGAGATTTAAGAATCGTAGTGGCATACACAGTGTGATAAGGCCTGTTCTGGAAGAAAATGCCAAACAGGACCTACAGTACTCAGGAGGAAAAGGCACTCCCAGGACACAGTGTCTCATCAGTCATTGCTGCATCTTCAATAAAGGTAAGTGTCATTTATTCTTCATTTAGTAGAGTAGTACATGCACAATATATATTGTGCATGTACTACTCTACTATTGTGCATGTATCCTTCTCTTTGTGTGTAGGAAAATGTATATTTCATGTGGTAAAAAAAAAAAAATCATACTTTTGGGTGTCTTGCACGGATTAATTTGATTTCCATTATTTCTTATGGGGAAAATTCATTCGCATACCGAACATTTCGCATAACAATCAGCCCTCTTGCACGGATTAAAGTCGCTATGCGGGGGTCCACTGTACTTACAGGTTACAAAGAAGTATAGTTCTTGCAATATGTGTCAGGTGCTTACTGCACAAAATACGCACACTCCTAGATCCTGTATATTTATTAAATCTAAAACTTCCCTCCTGCAGAAACGAGATACTCCACCATAGAAAAGGAATGTTTGGCCCTTGTGTGGGGTATCTCCAAGCTTAAATTTTATCTACTGGGAAAAGAATTCATTTTAGAAACGGTTCATCTAATTATTTCTCTGACTGGTTAAGTTGTGACAGTCAGTACAAGATTTGTTGCCTTACGCGACTTCCACATGTTAGAACTTTTTCCTCGCCTATTCTTCTTATACTCCTTGACTTATAAGTCTTGGTATGGGGGAGTGTGAGGGAAAAGTTCAATAGATAGGAGTAGCGAGGGAGTGTATAGTAACAATAGTTTCATTGCCGGCTACTTGTTAAGGTAGGGTAAGTCCAGCTCCCGCTATTCCCCCCCCCTTTTTCCCCCTCCCCGAACGTGATAGTTTGATTGCCGGCTGCTTGTTAAGGTAGGGCCAGTCTAGCTCCCGCTATCCCTTCCCCTCCCTCTTCCCCCCCCCCCCCGAAAGGTGACGTGTGGGGCTCCGGTCAAACAGTAAATCACTCGACTCACAGCTCCCAACACTACTGTAAGTACATGCCTGATCATATTTTAGTTGACTTATTGGTTGAAAGCTTCACTTTTGACCAATAATTAACTTAGTCCTTTCAGTCTTTATCTGTTAAATGTTTTAATAATCACCACATCTTTTAGGTATTGTACTTATCATGGAGAGTGATTTCTTAAGCAGTGGGTAATCTGTCTCTCTTTACAGCTTGGAATGACAGAGAGGGTCACCTGCCAATCAACGAGAAGAATAGAAGGAGACGGACAAACGTCCTGAGACGTCCCATGTTTAATCTACTTACCTGTTATGTAAGCCAACACAGGACCTAACCCCTCATCATAGCAGTGGTAACGAACCTGTTTTCCTGTCATCTGAAATAATTATACATGGCTACACTCTGTGAAGAACGAGTCAGTGGTGGTCACCAACACCTGCTACCCCCCCCCACATCAGCAACGGTTACGATTTCAACAACACGCAGTGTCACCAACACCTGACACCCCATTACCACGATATACCTCTATTAGCGTTGAGTTCAAATGTAATTTTTTCATTTCATTTTTCATTTTTCTTTCAATTAGGATACCCATTCATGTTTTATTGTTTTACATTTTCTGTTTCTAAATAATGAAGTGTTTATCATTGTCTGTTATTATTTCTTTTTCTATTCATTAATTTTCCTGAGGAGGAGCCAGCCATGGTAATACTGACTGAAGTTGTTACAGGGCTGAGTAAGCCTTCACACCCTTAGACAGGACATCTCCACTGCCTCCAACCGCCTCCTCGCTGCAGCATTTACAATCCAAGCTTCACACCCATATAAGAGTGTTGGTACTACTATACTTTCATACATTCCCTAAAGTTGGATTCATCACTAACCATCACCTTCCTTCACTGCTCCTGACCCCAATACTTGTATTTATTACAAAAGTCTAAAATACTGGAAGTCATAGATAATGATAATGGCAGTTTTACAGCTGCAAGCCGTAAGAGAACATGATCTTAATGTAACCTGTGGCATATGGGCCTCTCTGGTACATTTTTAAACAGATCTGGGTAGATTTTATTCACCTAAGATAAAGAAATTGCAAGGCTCTGGGTCACTAGTCTTTTCAGTAACAGATGTATCTCTATGAAATCTTTTTAGGTCACCCAGGGATCAATTTAGGAGAAGGAACTACAGTGATGGTCAAGTCAAATGATCTCCAGAGGAGATGCTGAATAGCCGCCCCATTCACTGTGCTATTTTCTTCATGGAGACACTCTCTTCTTTCAAAACCAACACACACAAGCCCTCTCCTCCTTAGAAAGGTAGCTCCCAGACATCTTCACAAATATAATAAAAAATAACACAATGGGGTGAGCAAAACCAAATATCCACCAATAAGTCACAGAAAATCACTATCCACTTTTACTGCTCATGTATTAATGATGAAAGAGATTGCAGCCACACACTCATGGCATGTACACCACTACCAGATGCAGAAAACAAACCTGAGCAAATGGTTTGCAATAACTATCTTAGTCTGTTTTGATCCTTGATAAACCTGGACATAGGGACCAAAGTTTTTTGCCAACACTGTAACTGTAAACTATATACAGACTTTGGCACAGGTATGTCACTAATCAGAGTATAGGACAAGTGTCTCCTGGCACAGGTCTTTGTCTCATGATTACCTCTTAAATGGTTAATTTTATGTAGCTCTACCAGAGCTAGACTTTACACTCCCATTTAAAAATATGAGGAACATTACCTAGTACTGCCCTAAGATACAGGGCAAATGGTATGCCATAAGAGAAAACTCACCATGGTTAAAATGGCCTACTTACTGGTGAGAGGACTAGAAGCATTATCTGCAGAGGCCAAACAGCTGCTCTCCGCTTATTGTTCTCAGCAAAGCTGTCCAGATGTTCAAACATTACTTCGCAGCACTTTGCTAAATCTTCATTTCTGCGTTTCTGAAATTTTTAGAAAAGAAAGCAAACATCCTATTAAGGAAAAAATATAATTTACAGTATTGTCATATTTAAATGCAGCACAAAATATTGGAATTTTACCCTATTTCTCATATAATAAAATATGGTGGAAAACTTTGTCATGCGAACATAGCTCGCGCTTTCAACATGCAATTTAAAGTTCTCTAGTATTAAATAGTCTGTAAGCCATTAATACAGTATGCCCATAATGCCATGGAATGATAGTGGCTCTCTTTGCACTGCAACTCATTACTGTAAGTAAAGAATCCCAAAGTAAACTTGCAAATAAATAAAAATTGTATTGTATAGGTTCTCCTTTCCAATAGAAGAACATCCATTTCCTCTAAGGCAAGCAGGAATGGAATTCATTTCCATTGGCAGCATGCATTTATGTTAAGGAGTGCCATGGCATGTAGGCCTGAGACCTCCCCAATACACATTAGGAAACTCCATTCTCCATTTTTTTTTCAACACGTCGGTCATCTCCCACCGAGGAAGGGTGACCCAAAAAGAAAAATCCCCCCCCCCAAAATACTTTCGTCATTCAACACTGTCACCTCACTCATACATAATCACTGTCTTTGCAGAGGCGCTCAGATACAACAGTTTAGAAGTCCCTCCAAACTGCCAATATCCCAAACCCCTCCTTTGAAGTGCAGGCATTGTACTTCCCATTTCCAGGACTCAAGTCAGGCTAACCGGTTTCCCTGAATCCCTTCACAAACTATTACCCTGCTCACATTCCAACAGCTCATCAGGTTCTAAAAACCATTTGTCTCCATTCACTCCTATCTAACACACACACACATGCTCGCTGGAAGTCCAAGCCCCTCGCCACAAAACCTCCTTTACCCCCTCCCTCCAACCTTTTCGAGGACAACCCCTACCCCACCTTCCTTCCCCTACAGATTTATACACTCTCCATGTCATTCTACTTTGATCCATTCTCTCTAAATGACCAAACCACCTCAACAACCCCTCTTCAGCTCTCTGACTAATACTTTTAGTAACTCCACATCTCCTCCTAATTTCCACACTCCGAATTCTCTGCATAATATTTACACCACACATTGCCCTTAGCAAGACATCTCCACTCCCTCCAGCCGCCTCCTCGCTGCAGCATTTTCCAACCCAAGCTTCACACCCATGTAAGAATGTTGGTACCATTATACTTTCATACATTCCTAATTCTACACCTTCCTAGAGAGTGCAGATTCAGTGCCCTCAGTCTATCCTTGTAGTAAAGATTTCTGACACATGGGATCAACTTTGTCATCCTTCTCAGTAAGTTTTCCAGCACATACATGCCCCTTCTGTAATACTGTGACCAAAATTGTGCATCATGATTTAAATGCGGCCTAACAAATGATATTTTTTTATTTTTATTATCACACTGGCCGATTCCCACCAAGGCAGGGTGGCCCGAAAAAGAAAAACTTTCTCCATCATTCACTCCATCACTGTCTTGCCAGAAGGGTGCTTTACACTACAGTTTTTAAACTGCAACATTAACACCCCTCCTTCAGAGTGCAGGCACTGTACTTCCCATCTCCAGGACTCAAGTCCGGCCTGCTGGTTTCCCTGAACCCCTTCATAAACGTTACTTTGCTCACACTCCAACAGCACATCAAGTATTAAAAACCATTTGTCTCCATTCACTCCTATCAAACACGCTCACGCATTTATAGATTTGAATAACCTGAGGACATCCTGTTATTTATACTTCTTGATATGAAGCCAAGAATTTTATTTGCTTTATTGCAAACACTTATGCGCTGTTGCTTTGGCTATAGATTACTGCTAACCAGAACTCCTAAATATTTTTCACATTCAGAGCAAGTTCTATATTGTTTTGTTTTAAAAATGTCATAGATATTTTTTTCTCTAAGGCTTAAAACTTTACATTTGTCTATATTAAACTGTATCTGCCACTTCTCCAGCCACTGCAGCAGTCTACTCAGATCTTCCTGTAAAACTATAGTGTCCTTGTCACACTTAATCCAATGGCCTATTTTGACGTCACTGGCAAACTTGTTCACGTCACTATTAATTCCCTCAACTATGCAGTTTATGTATATTGTGAGCAACAATGGCATCAATAAAACATATCAATGTGGGAGACAGTGAAAGGGTTAAGAAGCACACTGCAAAGTTAAGGATTATCATGAGCCTGCTAATAAGAATGATCTGCACTACTATATCCATCAAGATAGAATGACCAGGAGGGAAGTCAAAACTGATCTCTTGCTGAGTGCAAATAAGATCTCAAGCACAGCAGTCTTTGAAAAAGAGTACTTATACACAGTATATTAATGTATCTCATTATATTAATAATTGTAGGAAAGTACAGCACATCATGAACACACAAGCTTTAGAGAACCTCCATTAAGAAGTACACTGTCCTCCCATGTGGGGATGAAGCCACTAACATGTCCAGTGGACTTGCCAGTTGTAAGATGAATACAGCCACCAGTTCTCTGGCCACTATCAAGAACCTGCTTAAGAAGTTACCACCACACCCACAAATTCCAATGCAGGAGTCAACATAAAACCATGTGGTGGCTATGACAGTGTACACGGGAGAGAAGGAAACTTGGAGCAGCACCTCAAAGAGAGAACAAGCACACTGCAACATTGCTGACATGAACAACCTGTAAGTAATTCACTAAAGTTCATGTTGTCATTTGATGAAATAAGGGAAAGGAAAGACTCATAATCAAGGAGGAGTTGTCTTAGGAAAGGCTGGAGGGAGGAGGTAAAGGAGGGTTTTGTATGCAAGGGGTTTAGACTTCCAGTGAGCATGTATGAGTGTGTTAGATAGGAGCGAGAGGAGGCAAATGGTTTTTAAGACGAAGTGCTGTTGGAATGTGAGCAAAGTAACATTTATGAAGGGATTCAGAGAAACCAGTTAGCTGGACTTGAGTCCTGGAGGTGGGAACTACAGTGCCTGTTCTCTGAAGGAGGAGTGAAAATATGTTGCAGTTTTTGAACTGTAGTGTCAGTACACCTCTGGCAAGACAGTGATGGAGTGAATAATGATGAAAGTGTTTCATCTTGTTCAGGTTACCCTGCTTTGGTGGGAAAGAGCTGATGTATTAATAAATAAAAAATAGTTCCAATAATGTTGTCAAGAAATTTAGAAGTTTTAGGAAATCAAACACACAGGTCAACTTGGTGCTACCCAGGCAGATCACTGCAATCAGGTAACTTAACTGACAGTCAGGTCAGGTCAGGTCTAGTCAGGTACATAGGTAAGTAGGTAGAGGGAAAAAAGGAGGGAAGGTGAATGCATGATTGTGGGCACACACACACATACACCCACACTCACACGAAATATGCCTTAAAAAAATTAACACAGTAACACGAACATAACTCTTTACCTAATTACTCAGAGTTCAGGTGAAATTTCAAAGATAAAATTTATTCTGACCTGTAAATCAGCAAACTCATTGGGGTACGTATCCATCCAATTCCATATCGCTTTCTCCATTGAATTCATCAACACTATTTGAGCATTTTTTCGTAAACACCGAAATTTCTGTATCGTTTCTGAAAAAATTAAAATATTGTATACCAAAGAACACAGTACAGAAGACATATAATGTATGTGGAAGAGCTTAGAATTAATTTTATTAGTCTCATTAATTCAACTAATAATTAGATATGTATATCTATGAAAAATAATTGCTAGATTATAAAGTACTGTAATAGTAAAACTGAGGATAAAGGCTCAGAGCAAACAGAATCAGCATTTTTTCTTTAACGAAAAATACAATGTATGTATTAGTAAGTACTTTCTCTTTTACCTCAATGATTGTCTCTCACCAAGCATGGTGACCCCAAAAAAAGAAACACATCCACCATCACTCAATCACTGTCCAGCCTGATGTATGCTGACAACACAATTCAGATTACCCTCTGATTGCAACACACATATTCATTTTTTTTTTTATCACACTGGCTTATTCCCACCAAGGCAGGGTGGCCCGAAAAAGAAAAACTTTCACCATCATTCACTCCATCACTGTCTTGCCAGAAGGGTGCTTTACACTACAGTTTTTAAACTGCAACATTAACACCCCTCCTTCAGAGTGCAGGCACTGTACTTCCTATCTCCAGGACTCAAGTCCGGCCTGCCGGTTTCCCTGAACCCCTTCATAAATGCTACTTTGCTCACACTCCAACAGCACGTCAAGTATTAAAAACCATTTGTCTCCATTCACTCCTATCAAACACGCTCACGCATGCCTGCTGGAAGTCCAAGCCCCTCGCACACAAAACCTCCTTTACCCCCTCCCTCCAACCTTTCTTAGGCCGACCCCTACCCCGCCTTCCTTCCACTACAGACTGATACACTCTTGAAGTCATTCTGTTTCGCTCCATTCTCTCTACATGTCCGAACCACCTCAACAACCCTTCCTCAGCCCTCTGGACAACAGTTTTGGTAATCCCGCACCTCCTCCTAACTTCCAAACTACGAATTCTCTGCATTATATTCACACCACACATTGCCCTCAGACATGACAGCTCCACTGCCTCCAGCCTTCTTCTCGCTGCAACATTCATCACCCATGCTTCACACCCATATAAGAGCATTGGTAAAACTATACTCTCATATATTCCCCTCTTTGCCTCCAAGGACAAAGTTCTTTGTCTCCACAGACTCCTAAGTGCACCACTCACTCTTTTCCCCTCATCAATTCTATGATTCACCTCATCTTTCATAGACCCATCCGCTGACACGTCCACTCCCAAATATCTGAATACATTCACCTCCTCCATACTCTCTCCCTCCAATCTGATATTCAATCTTTCATCACCTAATCTTTTTATCCTCATAACCTTACTCTTTCCTGTATTCACCTTTAATTTTCTTCTTTTGCACACCCTACCAAATTCATCCACCAATCTCTGCAACTTCTCTTCAAAATCTCCCAAGAGCACAGTGTCATCAGCAAAGAGCAGCTGTGACAACTCCCACTTTGTGTGTGATTCTTTATCTGTTAACTCCACGCCTCTTGCCAAGACCCTCACATTTACTTCTCTTACAACCCCATCTATAAATATATTAAACAACCACGGTGACATCACGCATCCTTGTCTAGGATGTACTCATCCCTCCTTCAAATGCAGCCACTGTCCTATCTCCTCCAGGACTCAAATCTGGCTGACTGATTTTCTTGAATCCCTCAATTTTTTAATGTTACCTTGCTTACACCGCCCAGCAGTACAGCCAATGAAATCCACATGTCTCCATTCACCCCTAACATGCTCACACAAGCCTGCTGGATGAAAACTGCTAAAACTCAAAGCTTCCTTTCCATTCTCCTTCCAACCATTCCTAAGACAATCCCTTACCCCTCCTACTTTACACCACAGATATACAACATCTTTGCATCCCTTCTCTCACCACTACATCAGCAACCCTGCCTCAGCCTTCTGAATGATTTGTTCTGTTATGTACAAGCCAAGTCTTTCTCTTACTCACTGTTGCGAGTAAGAGGTGAATGTTTATAAACTAAAGGAGGTGGTAGTTAGAGTAATACATATATTAATAACTACTGGAAGAAAGATGGGCTGGTGAGAGGTATAGGGATTATTTAAGAATGTAGTGTTAGTGTGTGCGGCAGAAGTTTGTGGTTATAAGAGGGTGAGTGCAAGAGGGAAGAGGAGTGACTGGTGGAATGCTGAGGTAGAGAGAGTGGTAAGGGACAAAAAGTTAGCATATAAGAAGTTTTACAAAACAGAAATTATATAAAAAGGGAGGAGTATGGAGAGTAAAAGAGAAGCTAAGAGAGAGTCGTGAGGGAGTGTGAGAGGAGAGCAAATGAGAGTGGATGACGTCTAAAAATTTTGCTGAGAATAAGAAAAAGTTTTGGAGTGAGATTAATAGGCTGAGAAGGCCTAGGGAACAAATGGACTGCACAGCTAAAAATAGAAGAGGGGAGTTATTAGATGGGGAGTTGGAAGTATTGGGAAGATGGTGGGAATATTTTGAGCCGTTAAATGTTGAAGAAAAGGAGGCTGTGATTTCATGCATTGGCCAGGGAAGTATAACATCTTTTAGCAGTGAGGAAGAGTCAGCAGTGAGAGTGAGGGAGGTTCATGAGGCAATGGGTAAAACGAAAAGAGATAAAGCATTTGGGATTGATGGGATCAAGAGAGAAATGTTAAGAGAACACACGCTATAGTTTTGGAGTGGTTGCTACTTTTGTTCAATAAATGAATGAACGAGGGTAAGTACCGAGGTAACGGCACTGAGTGCGCATAGTTCCTTTTATAAAGAAAAGTGGTACAAAAGAGAGAGTAAAAATTATAGGGAAAGAGGCCTATTGAGCATACTGGGCAAAGTGTATGGTGTGGTTATTATTGAAAGAATTAAGGGCAAAATGGAGAGAAGGACTGCAGATGAACAAGGTTTTAGGAAGGGTAGATGTGCAGACCAAGTGTTGATTTTAAATCATATTTTTTTTAACACACTGGCTGTTTCCCACTCAGGTGGGGTGACCCAATAAAAGAAACACTCTCACCATCATTCACTCTACCACTGTTTTGCCTGAGGTACTCAGACACTACATTTCATATGTCCCTCCAAACTGCAAATAACCCACCCCTCCTTCAGAGTGCAGGCAATGTACTTTCCACCTCTGAGACTCAAGTCCATCATATAAGTAAACAATACTTAAAGGTAAGGAAGTTATTGGTGCATTTGTGGATTTAGAAAAGGAATGTGATAGGATGAATAGGGAAGCAATGTGGCAGACGTTGCAAGTGTATGGAATAGGTGGTAGGTTACTGACAGCAGTTAAAAGTTTTTACAAGGATAGTCAGGCTCAGGTTAGAGTATGTAAGAGAGAGGGAGATTATTTTCCAGTAGGAGAAGGCCTTAGATAGGAATGTATGCTGTCACTATGGTTAACATACTTATCAATGGAGTTGTAAAAGTGAATGCTAGTGTGTTGGGGAGAGGGGTGGGATTAAAATGTATAGAATTTAATACAAAGTGGGAGTTGTCTTACTTAATATATTTATAGATGGAGATGTTATATAGTAGGTTGGTAGATAGCAACCACCCAGGGGGGTACTACCGTCCTGCCAAGTGAGTGTAAAGTGAAAGCCTGTAACTGTTTTACATGATGGTAGGATTGCTGGTGTCTTTTTTCTGTCTCATAAACATGCAGGATTTCAGGTACGTCTTGCTTCTACTTACACTTAGGTCACACTACACATACATGTACAAGCATATATATACATACCCATCTGGGTTTTCTTCTATTTTCTTACTAGTTCTTGTTCTTGTTTATTTCCTCTTACCTCCATGGGGAAGTGGAACAGAATTCTTCCTCCGTAAGCCATGCGTGTTGTAAGAAGCGACTAAAATGCCAGGAGCAAGGGGCTAGTAACCCCTTCTCCTGTATATATTACTAAATGTAAAAGGAGAAACTTTCGTTTTTCCTTTTGGGCCACCCCACCTCGGTGGTATACGGCCGGTGTGTTGAAAGAAAGATGGAGTTGTAAAAGAAGTGAATGCTAGTGTGTTGGGGAGAGGGGTGGGATTAAAATATATAGAATCTAATACAAAGTGGGAGTTGTCACAGTTGCTTTATGCCAAATGACACTGTGCTTCTTGGGAGATTCTGAGGAGAAGTTGCAAAGGTTGATAGATGAATTTGGAAGGGTGCGTAAAAGAAGGAAATTAACCCTTTCAGGGTTTCCAACATACTAGTATGGCTTACACACCAGGGTTACTGACATACTAGTATGCCTAAATCCTAGCGCCTTCAAATCTAGTGAGAGAAAGCTGGTAGGCCTACATATGAAAGAGTGGATCTATGTGGTCAGTGTGCACAGTATAAAAAAAAATCATGCAGCACACAATGTAATGAGAAAAAAAAAATGACCGTGTTTTTGCTTTAAAACAGCGACTTTGCACTGTATTTTCGTATGGTATTAATGGTTGTATTCTAGTTTTCCTGGACTCATTTTATAGAATGGAAGACATATTACAGAAATCGAGATGATTTTGATTGGTTTCACAATAAAAAAAATACCTTGAAATTGAGCTCAAAGTAGCAGAAATGTTCCATTTTTGCCAAAGTTCAAAAGTAAACAAATCATGCCACGCGTCCAATACACATCAACTGGCAAGTCTAATATTCTTTCACAAGTGCGCTGATATTAGTTATACCATTTCTACACTAATGAAGTAGTCTGCATAACAGTAAATCTTCTATTTTTTGTGAGAATAAAAATTCAAAGTGGAAAGCAAAAGAAATGTAAGAGGGGCCTGGGGAAGTGACTAATGAACAGAGGAAATATTATTTTAGTGCCAAGAATGTCTGTCTTGTTTATTCTGGACCCTATTTGGAAATTGGCATCTTTTGAAATTTGTGTGAAATTGGCAAAATTGCCAATTTCTCACCACTTTATTGGATAGTAGAAATTGGTAAATGGGTGGTTTCTTATACTCATTCGGTAGAAAAAAATGAAGATCTGGCGAAATAGTTATGATTTTTGTCGACTAGTACACTGGAATTGGCCTTAAATAG